GAATGACATTAATCGGCACACGTTCGAACGTGTGCCGATTAATGTCATTCGAGTATAAGAAACCTGATTAGATCAGCATATATACAATATTTTGGATTAGGGAAAGTAGTAACCATAAAATCGATGTTCGATACCTTCAGCTCATTTAAAAATCCCAGGTTTTGACGCTTACTTTCCGTACTTTCAAATATGAAACAATAGTTGTTACGGAGGAAAACGCTCCGAAATAACAAGTCTTTCAAATTCATCGTTCAAAGCGAAACAAAGTACAACGTTAGCAGAAATAGCATAAAAATTGATGATGTAATGCAGCGATAATACAGCGATTATAATACTTTTAATAATACAGCGATAATACATCATCGTAGTTAAGAACAAAACGATACATCATATGGATAAGCGAAAAATTAAACAGAATGTTGAATGCGCACGAGTTAATCATATGAGTACACCATAAACTAGTGATGGTAAGCGATCAATGTTTGAAATCTAAAAAAATGGATTCTGTTGCTTCCGGCCCAAAATTTTGAAATTCAGTCGGAATACCGAATAAGTAAGTTTAAAAAAGGGCCAATCCAGTTGAGTTCCAACCAAACTCAAATTTCGGTTACCATCACTATCACAAATTAAACGGGTGCAACTGAAATCGAATAATCTAGTTTGAGATTGAAGAAGTTGCTACCATTATAAAACTCGAATGTGTATTGGTTTGGTGGCAGATTCTCAATGCAACCCTCTTCGGGAAGTTTCGTAGAGATGAGTCTCAATCGTGGATAGACTAACTCTCGCTTATTGCCATCCACATAAATCATAAAATCCACTTCATGATTAGCACTAAAATCCCATAACAGTACATGACCAGACGGCACATCAACAACATACGTAAACGCACTTTTGGTTGCAATATCCTGAATTTGACGCGGTTCAATTTGCAACGAACAATTAACTTTCCTAAATTTGAGAAAAAATTTTTGAGATCCAAATGGCGAACAGATGATAAATTCTTCATTCAATTTGTAATTTTTGCGATCAGATGACGAGTTGATTTCGTTGATATATCAAGGATATACTGTGTTGATGGTGAATAAGCAGTCGAGAAAATGGATACCTGGTGATTGGGCTTGGCTCGTGGGATGCCTTTCTTCCGATACACCTCATACGAGCGTAAATGATCATCTGCTGTGATTTTCCGTCTTTGGCTCATTCCGGACTCATCGCCAGGTGGTACACTATTCACGAAATCACCTCAATTTGTCAACAAAGATCTAATTTCAAAATCTAGACCAATTACATCGATAAAAATCAGTCTTTCAGTTTCATAAACCAAACAGAATGAAGGGACTCGACGAGAGACGAGATTCTCGATCTGCAAAATGAGATCAGTGCAATTATGAAAAAATTATCAAAATATCGTTGATAACAACTACAGCACTATGATAAGCCTAACATAGCACTGAGAAATACGGCACAATACCTCCGAATTCCTTAGGTACAAATGATTTCGGGAGATATTGCAATAGTTCTTTGTTGTTTCCAACAATCTCAACCAAATTACAGTTTTTATCGTTTAGAAACCTTTTCACCAGTCCCCATAGAGCACTAACTAGTTTCGGTGGATTGACTAGAAATATTTTTTGGACCATTCCTGGATACCTGAAAAAACCATTATCTAATTCAGCTAAACAGCAATAATAAGCTTTTATTATTCCATGTATTTTCTAAAGATATGTGCAAGTAAGTACACATTTACATATTAATGTATTTTGTA